AAACAAAACTGAGTCTCTTTAGCTAAATATGGAGCATGGGAAGTTTGCAGAAAAAAAAAAAAAAGGATGAAGCGCTGTTTTGCTATGTCACCAGGATTTCAATTACCTGTCGAGACATTGGTGTTCTCCCTTAAAATAAAATAAAGCACCCAGTGCTGGTAGACCCACCTCGGTGGTGTGTGAGCATTTTGCTGCACGGGGAGCTGGACCAGCTCATCATCCCCACAGCAAAGAGCCACGAGCGAGCTGAAGGTGGCAGGAAACCACTGCTGCCTAAACTGATGAGTAACCAGGAGTTAACACGCGAGCTTTTTACCAGCTATTTCATTTCTATGGATCTGAAGACTTCTGGAACCAATATGTGGGCTTCCTCGGGCTCTCGAGAGGAAGCAATGTAATACCCAGCGACAGATTTCAAAGTAAAATAGTGTTTTAGGAGAGACACTTACATCTGGTGTCCAAGTGGTTTGGTTTTTCAAAACGCGGGCTGTTAAAATATTGATACATAAACAGGAAAGTTTGCTTTCCTGCTTCCTCCAGTTTGTACACATAGGGGAAAAAAAGCAAATCCCCTCTGACCGCAGAGATACAGACACTGCATTGCCTCATGAAACCACCAAAGGAATGAGGGCAGAAGGTCTTGTTGATTTAAGAGTGTCAAACTAAGTGGTTATTAGTAAGATGCAGGAAAAACCCTAAGCAAAAGGGCTGAAATTCGACCACAAATTAGAGATCGGTCACAAACCCACTCCTGCTGTATCGCTTCGATGCCAAATATTGCCTGGGATACAGAAGCCAGTAACTGGTCACATCGAGGAACAAAAATCTTCAGACCCTGGCGTGTTTTCCATGACATAGGTGCTATTTCGGAGTCACTGGCAAGTGTCTCATGGCTGGTTTTTAAGTGTGTAGGAAGAAGATACAGCTCAACATAAAGCCATTCACCGTGCTCGCCCCATACCTGCTGCCAAACCACAGGCACCTGCCACAGAGATCACTTCTGCAGGGCAGAGTCTGATTTCCAGGGGTGAACGGGGTCTCCAGGGAAAAGCCACCTCCACCTTCCACTGCTTTTGGTTTCGGGCACAGGGCTCTTTTATAACTCTGCCTGCAATTAACCTTGACATCGTCCATAAAACCACCCTAAAATTTTCTTTCCTCCTCCTGGTGTTTACAGTTTCCAGCAGCTGTATCACTCATTCTCATTTGACAAGGTAGTTATTTGTCTCGAGATTAATTTCATAATCCAGCTCTGCCAGCTCAAAAGCATCTGCTGGCTTTGGAGCGTTGTGCAATATTTTTGACGGATTTCAGGCTCACTGCAGTATCACGCGTGCCACGCAGGACGGATTATTTCACCAGCCTCTGCCTATGCTGCCAAAGTCCAAATTTTTCTAGGGAAGTTTTATAAATTTTGCATGTTCATATCCGAATTTTCTGCAACTGCACTGTTTCTTTCTCGTATTGCTGTCTCCTCAAAGCTGTTTGCATTTGGAAGGATAGTTATGCTGCATTCACGTTTACCACACTTTATTCCAATCTTACTTCCTATTTTCAATACTTTTCAACAGCAAACTGTTGTGTCTCACTACAGAGATGAGAAATACAGTTTCTCTCTTTTATAAACTGTAAAAATAAGCATATTTTAGGATTAGAAGAACAACTAAGATTTCAGTTCTTTGACTGCATTATGTTTTTCCATAGAGAATAATTTAATCGGGAAAATGGTTCATCCTTACCGGTGCCCAGATTTTACCACCCTCTTTCGTTTTCTATTGCACTCAGTAAAGTCAAATTAGTTTTAGTAATGTCTTTGGCCAGATGTTCACACCTTAAAGAAAACCAGCACACAGGCTGCTGCAAAATCTGAACAGTTTTAGGAATACCAGCTGACAGCCTAAACTCATACTCCAAGCCCAGCTCTGTTCCTAAACACAGAGGCATTTTTCATCCTTCAGATCCTGCCTTAACATGACACACAAAAACAGAAGGAAAACAGATTTCTCCATCTTTGATGTCACCTTCAAATAATTTATGCAAAAGGAAGAACTTCACTTCTTACTTCAGAAAAATTCTTTGGGATGACTTTCATGGCATACCCAGATTTTTAAAGGGTTATTTGTACCGTCACATTGACGTCTTTAGTCATCAAATACACTTCAAATTCAACAAATTATTACCTCTGTGATTTTAAAAAGCTTTTTATGAATCTGAACGATTGCAAGGCATTTCAGTACAAAAGAAAAAGCTCAAACACTGAACTTGAATGGATATATAAAAACATCCCATGAAAGTTCAGTGTGGAAATCAGCTTCTCAGCTGACTGCGTTTCCATCTTAACTTTTTTGTCAACACTTAAAATTTTGTGTTTCTAATTGTCCAAGTGCAAAGCATCATCTGTCCTGCGAACAGATGTGCCTCAGGCCTCACCTTGAATTGGGATTTCCCAGTGCCATGTCACTAGAGCAAGTTGAAAAACTGGTCTCCTGTCCCAGAAAAAAAAAAAAACAAACAAGCAATACAAGTAGTTTTTCCCAAGTTTTCTCAAAATTATCCTCAGATGCAACAGGCAGTGGCCAAGGGGGAAGGACACACAACAAGGTGCTGGGTTGTACAACTGGTAGAACACTTACCAAGGGTACGTAATCCATATTCTATCTGATTTAAAGCAAATATGTGAAATTCAATATCTTGCCATCCAGATGGATGTGCTAAGCTGACATTACACAAGACAGCGGAGGCCTGCTCGTCTCCTTCTGTAAGAGCTCAGCCTCCAGGCACTGAGACACTGCCCAAAGTTTCATTAAAATCAATCCTTTTTGTCATAGACTACTGAATATTAACGGATCGATCCTTTCCCTCTCCATCCCCCAAAAGAAAAACATAGCTGATTGGGCTCTAGATAGCTCTTAAGACAGAAAAAGTTTCCTGCCTTAAAGAATTTGAAAATATATATAAGTTAACGAGGTTGCAATGCTCATAATCTGAAGCACGTGCTATGCTGGCCAGCTTCAGAAGTCAATACATTGAGCCAAAGACACATCCTTGTACCTGGAGTTAATAAGTTGTACACAGATAATTACGAATTTTTGAATAATTGTTTTTAAAACAGTAAAAGCTGCTGCATGTTATATCAAAAATCATATCTTCTTTCCTGCTCCATGACTGAACAATGTAAGAGGATAGCAACCTGGAATGATAAACACTTGCAAACGATCAGCTGCTGTGCCACTTGCAAACCAGGGTTACAACTTCATTCAAAAACTAAATTGATGGAAGATGACAATGACTAGCGTTTAATGACACAGCAGTAATTTTTTAAAAAGAAGAGTATCTGCCATCTTGCAAGTCATAACTAGAATTGCCAGTTCCAGTCCTGTTTAGCAGTGGTTTCCACTTCAGGAAACTCATCTGGCTGCGTTCTCTTTTTTCCAAGCTGCTTCCAGTCTTCCAGGTTCTCCCTCCTGGCGCAAGCAGCTTGCCAGGGAAATTTTGGAGCCATTTCTTTAGGCTCCAAAAATAACATAAAACTCTATGAGTGCTTTCTTCTTAAGTCCTCAAAACAATTTGTCACATCAGTTCAATGTCTCCTCTCATTGACTTACCAGCTTCTTCCTTCTCTGAAACTCGCCTTCCTATTGCCTTAAGTCCTTTCTTTCTCACCATTTTTGGTCTACTTTCCCCATCACGTTGTGCTTCCAATTTTAAATCACTTCTCCAGCTGCCCTTCGCTCCCTGCCATATGCTACTCAGCCTAACGCTGCCATTTCTCATCCTGGGGGTCCTTTTCTTTGCTTTGTTACTGCAGATGTGCTCTTGCTTATTTTAATATAAAAACGAGAAAATATGTGATTGGTAAATGTGTAAATAGGTTACCTCAGGAAAACGGAGGAAAAAACAACATGGCAAAAAAACATTCTTGGTATTGTGAAGGTTTTTTGCCACGTTGCTGTTAAGAAGCTTTTCAATAAGAAAAAAGAAAGAGCTTTTAAACAACAAAGGTGGCAAGGGAGTGGCAGGAGCACTTCATATCTTGGGTCATCCAAGAGTTCTGCATTAGACGTCTGGTTTAGTCATGAACTTTGGCACAAACACTTTTGCCCTCGCTGGGGAATAGGTCTGAACCAAAACAACACTGCAAGATCTACGCGGTTTTGAGTCATGTGTTTCAGACAAAACATGCTTGCCCGTTAAATTTGGAGGTCATTAACTAACAGCCCAAGCAAGGGAAACCAACATGAGCAGCACCCCAAGCAATCACACGCATCTAATCGCATCTACATTACACAGAAGTATTTCGACACGATGTTCTGCTTGCGCTACGCTGCTGATGTGTGCGGAACCATGTGACAGCTTTTCTGCTGTTGCAGGAGGCAGAAAAATGCTGACAGCCATATGTATGACATGGAGGAAGACTATGGATGGGAAGACATATTCCCGTTTGCTCAGAAAACCACCTGCAGTGTAAGAGCATCTTTCCGAGCTGGCTGTAATTCGCATGTTCAAGATGCTTCCTAAGATATTTTCCATTTTAATATCTACAACAGTGTTGTACAGTCCTTCAGAGGGACAAACATATCCTCAGAAGGACAAACATATCCTCTAAAAGCAATTTGCAACTTCAGTATAGGTACACGAGAAAGATTAATACGTCCCTTTACAAACCACGTGGGAACACTCCTGTCTTCTCGGAGGGAGAGACTTACATTAGCCAAGGTCTGTGTAAACCAGCCAGTAAATGATGATGTTGGCTTTTATTTTGAGGGTGCATACAAAAGCGTTGTGTACTTGCTCACGCTACACTGAGAGGTGATAAAATTAACCACTACCAACCACAAACTTGGTTTTTCAGAATATGTACCCACCTAGCTCAAAGATTTTCTATAACTCAGACCACTAAACTACTAGTCTTTCCTTCAACCACGAAAATTTGCAATAGCTTTTGGAAAGGAAGATACTAAATTAAGAGGAACGAAATGTGTCTTGCTTTAACGACTCACCTGAGAATCTATTTTAATTAGTGCAATGTCAGCTTTTTCATCAACATCTTTAATTTTAGCTTCATACGTTTCACCATTCTTCAGTTCCACCTTCACCCGGTTTTTGTTGGTGACGACATGGGCATTTGTCACTATCAGTCCATCTTCTGAGACGATGAACCCTGAGCCACTGGCAACTGGAATCTCCCTCTTCGAATAAGGAAGTCTAAAAGACACGAGAAATAAACATTTATTGCTGCAAAAAGTTGAAAGATAACAAGTCACTCCAAATAACACGTAGCTAAAAGTGTTGTTTTTTAATGCTTTAGGATATCTGCTGTTACTTGCTATCATTAACAAGATAATGCACATGCATCAGCTTAAATTTATTTTTTTTTTCCCAGAACTCTCAAATTATCTTTAATTCTTAAGCATGACAAATATTTATCATCTCAAAAACCTTATTGCTATTACATAGCATGAATCAACATTTCTGGCACACTGACAGCTGTTTTCAAGAATACAGAAATCAAAACTGGGCATCTTGTTTACTTGCGAAATAATTCAATGTGAACCACAGCAGGAGCTATCTTCTCCACCACATCTGCAATAAAGTTGTATTTGTGCCGCAGGCTATTAGGATGTTCTTGGCCTGAAATAGAAACAGAAAACATGTCATGAGTCCTTCAAATGACAGCAGAAGAGTCATTGCAAAATACCTGAATTAAAAAAAAGCTCCAAGTGGCTATCTTTCCCTTCCTTAAAAGTCAACTTTTTACAAGGGTGTGTAGTGATAGGACAAGGGGCAATGGCTTGAAACTGAAAGAGAGGAGATTTAGATAGAGATAAGGAAGAAATTCTTCTCTATGAGGGTGGCGAGGCACTGGAACAGGTTGCCCAGAGAAGCTGTGGCTGCCCCATCCCTGGAAGTGTTCATGGCCAGGTTGGATGAGGCTTTGGGCAACCTGGTGTAGTGGAAGGTGTCCCTGCCTATGGCAGGAGGGTTGGAACGAGATGATCTTGAAGGTCCCTTCCAACCCAAACCATTCTATGATCTGCAAGATAACCCTTGCCCCCAGATTTCCCTTCTGGCTCTTGGCACAGAAGGGGCAGCATGCTTAATCGTTAGGACAAACAGATCCATGAAACCTTCTTGTTTCAAGCACATGGAACTACGCAGATCTGCTGCTCCAAGCGTGGCTGTAGCCGCAGGGCCC